TGCCTGGGTTTTGGGCTCCATCCCCAGTAGGGTGTGTGTAGGAGGCAGCTGACCAATGATTCTATCTCCCTCTCCCTCTCTCTTTGTCTCTGCAATCAATGAAAATACATTTTAAAAAAGAAAAAAATGCATGTGTATATGGACACACCAGCCAGGGGGACAGGATTCCCGTGTCACTCCCAATGCTGATATAAAGTGGGGGAGGGATATTATGACATCATACAAACCCCTGTGTATTCATATACTTCAGTGCAGGGTTTCTGATATATGTGTGTGGTCCCGTATAATGAGTGATAGTAGGTTATGGGCACGGCTTCAAATGACACTGAGCAGGAAGTGCATTTCCCACATCACCAGGGATGCCTTCAATGCATCTCAAGGAGGTGGTCTGAATGGGGAGCTGTCTTATTCTCGAGAAACCCTGGCTTTGCAGATGGTGGTCCTCAAATCCCAGATGGTAGCATCTGCATCCCAGGAGAGATGGTTGGAAGTGCAGAATCGCAGGCCCCGCCCTCAATTCACCGGCTCAGAATCTGCATGTTAGCTGGAGTTACAGGTGCTTGGATGTAGATTGAAGTTTGAGATGCACCCCCACAATGGTGTCCTGGGGCAGCTCTTACTGGACGCCTCAGAGCTGATTGCTAAAAAGTTGAGGAACTTCCCTAGAGCTGGTGAACGGTCCTGCGAAGCTTGACTTTGGTGATGGCGGAGATATTGGTAGCATGGAACTCAGACGTCAGACATTCTCCTAGTTTCCTTTCCCAGAGCTACTTGTTACTTATTGAACAGCACACCCTGGCCTCTAACTGCTTCCCTTTTAGCAAAGAGAGAGACGACTGAGACTTTGACATTATCTAGTTCAGGGAAAAGAAAATATTGCTTTACATAGCAATTTCTCTGTGCTTCAGTCTGCTTTTCTCTAAAATGGGAATGATAATAAAGTCACACTAATACTAGGGCTATTTTGAAGAGTAGGTATAAATACATACATGTGTGTTACATCTAACGTGTGTAGATATGTATTTGTGTATAGTCTGTGTTGATGACTTACCATATCCACACATATTAGTAAAGTGTGTGTGCATGAGTGTGTTTAGTCCGTCTTGATGAGGGGATACTCACCAAATGTTTTCTAAGTGTTCACTTTAATTATTTTGTAGAAAATAATATTGGCTTTCCATTTTTAAGTCAATTTTAAAATATTTGTATTGATTTCAGAGAGGAAGGGAGGGGGAATGAGAGATAGAAACATCAATAATGAGAATCACCAATCAGCTGCCTCCTGCACGCCTCTTACTGGGTATTGAGCCCTCAACCCGGGCATGTGCCCTCACCAAGAATTGAACCGTGACCTCCTGGTTCATAGGTCGAACCTCAACCAGTGAGCCAGGCTGGGTGGGCTTTAAGTAAATACTTTAAAAACTGAAAGCGTTTTAATAGAAGTTAAAGTAATGGTACAAGTGATTCAAGAATGTGGCAGCACTGGAGGAGGGGTGTAGGAGTGTTTCAGGTCTAGAAGCGCGCACAGGGGGGTAGTGGGAGTGAACAACAGAGAAGAAGAAGGGTTTCTGCAGAGCTGGGCTGATTTCTTCCTGGAGCTCCGCCAGGGCTCTACCACCCACTGTGGGTGTTGGCCAAGTCACTCCCCCTTTCTCTGAAAAAGGAGGGGCTGCATTGGAATAGCACTCATCTGTCTCCCACTCCCGCTCTGTGGGAGGGTATGTATTTTTATTCTCAAAGCTTAGGAGAAATCAAACATGCCTTTCTCAACCTAATCGGTTTGGCTCAGTGGATAGAGCATCGGCCTGTGGACAGGGTCCCAGAGATTCCAGTCAAGGGCATGCACCTTGGTTGCAGGCACATCCCCAGTAGGGAGTGTGCAGGAGGCAGCTGATCAATGTTTTTTACTCTCTCTTCCTCTCCCTTCCTCTCTGTAAAAATATTAAAAAAAAACACACACCAAAAAACATGCCTTTCTCGTCACAGAGAACTGGCAGAGAAGAAGGGACCCTACAGACATGTACTCCGTAGCAGCTGTGACTAGGATGACCTTGGTGGGTAGGGAGAAGATGCCATGATCATGGACTGGATGAGCTAGTGAGTCATCATTTGGACACTACCCTAGGTGCTGGCTCATTCAGAGCTCCGGAACTAGTCAGTAGTCTGGACTGCCCATGGCTTGACTTAAATGTCCTTTCACATCTACCCCTCCCCAGTTGGGAAGTCACTTCTCAACATGTAGAGGACCCTGCCCCCAGGAAGCCTTCTGTGATGCTGCCAAGATGAGTGGCATACTCATCACTCTCTTCCCCTAACTGTTCTCAGATTATGTTGCCCTAGATCAGTGATGGTGAACCTTTTGAGCTCGGCATGTCGGCATTTTGAAAAACCCTAACTTAACTCTGGTGCCGTGTCACATATAGAAATGTTTTGATATTTGCAACCATAGTAAAACAAAGACTTATGTTTTTGATATTTATTTTATATATTTAAATGCCATTTAGCAAAGAAAAATCAACCAAAAAAATGAGTTTGCGTGTCACCTCTGACACGCGTGTCATAGGTTCGCCATCACTGCCCTAGATGTTGTATTTATCTCTTAGTCTTTACCCTTTAGACTCTTCGGTCCCTGAAGATAAGCTCTCTGACCTATTTGCCTTTCCATTCCCAGTATTGGACATTCAGTATATGGTCATCAGATATTTATATAATGAGAGAAGGAAGGGGCTGCGGTAGGAAAGAGAATTTTGCAGTTCAATTACCTAGATTGAAATAGTGACCTGCTTCTTATCGGAGCTATTCTTTGGGCAAGTCTTCTGTGCCTCAGTTTTGAACAAAACAGTACAAAGCCTAGTGAGCTTACTCTGACTGTAAGGTACTGTGTTCATGGGTAGTATTCGGGGCTCTGCATTTACGTATTAATCCTTTCATTCAGACTAATGAAGCCATGCCATCCTATGAAATTGCTCCAGGGCCGATGACTATTGTTCCCTGAGCCTGGCGAGTTCAGGCAGCACACTGGTCGTGTCACAGGTCATCCTGAGTGCTGCTTGATGGTCTCCATCAAAGAAGCGTCTGTCCTGAGTTTCAATGGGATGACATGTCCCTGTCTCAGCATCATTAACACAGAAGATGCCAGAGTACACTTGCAGAGTATTTGGCACAATTTTTAAAATAATGGTCCGTTCCAGCTGTTCCTAATAGTTTCACAAGGATGGTAATCTTTTCATCCTCTGGGTAGGTACCATTATTGTGTCCTCCCTGAACTCGCCAGTGGGTGAGCGTCGACCTATGAACCAGGAGGTCACAGTTCGATTCCCTGTCAGGGCACATGGCCCGGTTGTGGGCTTCATCCCCAGTAGGGGGCGTGCAGGAGGCAGCAGATCAATGATTCTCTCTCATCAATGATGTTTCTATTTCTCTCTCTCCCTTTCCCTTCCTCTCTCTGAAATCAATAAAAATACATTTTAAAAATATATTAAAAAATCACTAAAAATATATTTTAAAATATATTTAAAAATAAAGTTCAAGGGGGGCTGAGTGTCCCTGAGAGCTGCAGCTCTAAGGAAGGTGGTGCACATTGCTCTGAGTCGGTTCCCTATTGCAAGCTTTTCCTCAGTTTCCAAAACAGCTGCTGCTTGCAGTGGCCCCTGTGTTCACCTCTGGGGGTGGAGCCGCGTTTGAGGTACAGAGTCCTAGGGACAGAGCTGAGCCCTGGCAACATGTGACAGGCAGGGCGATGCCACTGGCTGTCGTGTGAGATCAGATGCTGCCTGCGTGGGCAGCAGAAGCTGGGTCTGCTCCTGGCAGCTGGCCTCACCCAGCCCACAGCCAGCCCAGCTCATGGCAACCACTTTCTTGCTTTTCCATTCTGAGGCAGAATAGAACCAGGCACCTAGAGGTTGAAGGGTTGCCTACGGAATTGTTCCCAGTGGCATCCTGAGAAATCATTTTCCCACTTAATTGAATTCAGCAAGGCTCCTGTCTGGGATCTGCAGTGAGCATTATTTCTTTAAAAAAATGTATATATATATTTTTTTTTTGAGAGGGGAGAAATACGTTTTGCCACGCTAAAGGTAAGCAAAAAAATGCATTTGACACCTGAGGTAATGGGGATTTTTTTTCGCCCATCCGTTTCTGAATCTCCTCCACTGAAAATTGTATTTTTACCATATCCTACTCCCCAAGGAGCTTTTCATAATTGAAATCTCCTGTTTAACTGTGCATTCAGAACGGGAGTCCTGGCACTGCCCTGATTACCGCATACGCGCTGGACATGCCGGCTTTCTCTGTGGGACCATGCTAATTTTATTCCGTGGTTATTAGCATCCTGGTGGAGAATTGCATTCTGTGCCCCAACGAGACGGTCCCTTCTGATGGGTTGTGGCAGCTAAGACAGTAAAAATTGGGGAAATTTCCCTTCCCATTCTCATTCATAAATTTAAAAAAAAAAAACAACCACTCTTGAAGGCTAGTTTCCGCACTTAGTTCAGCATAAAATGAACTAGAACCCACCTTTAAACTGGAAAAGAAAGAAAGACAGAAAGAGAAAAAGAGGGAAAGGCAGAGGAGAAGAAGGAAGAAAGAAAAAATAAAGGTTTGCAACCTCCATAAGAACATAAGATGGCTTCATTAGCATGCGCCCCAGGTTGCATTAGAAAATTTTTTAAAAAAAATTTAAGAAAAGAGAGTGGAAAGGAGGGAGGGCGGAAGGAAGAAAGGAAGCAAAGGAAAAGCAAATTTCTATTACTGTCTGTGAAGCAGTTTTTTCTAAGTAACCCAGAGAAAATATGAACACTAAAACGAAATAAAGCTTAAAAAAATGAAAGGACCTGTTAGCCCACTTGCTTCCATTCCTCAGATCGACTTTCTTAACTTGAGAGTTTTAGGAAATGCCTGGTGTGGCTCATTCACCTGATTCTGTTTGAAAGCAGTGATTTTGTTGGAAACCCTGTCTCAGTGGACTTGTCTCTGTCTTCCTCCCTTTTTGCTTTTTGCAGGAAATTTCAATGAAAAGGCAAGCCAACGGATGTTGGTCTTAGAAACCCTGTTTAGATGGTGTCTGCCTGCTGTGCTGTGAACACGTGGCGGCCCCGTGAGTAAACGCTCCGCCCTGCATGATGAATTGGATGGCTGCGGACCCGAGGCGAAACGAGTAATTGTCTCATTTTCGTGCTCATCTGCTTAACCGGTGGGACCATGCCAGAACGGCTCTCGGAAGCGCTCTTGGATCTCTGGACTCCATTAATAATATTATGGATTACTCTCCCCGCCTGCGTGGACACGGCTCCGACGACTCCATCTCAAGTTCTGACGAGTGGATCCCGTTTGGAACTAAACAGGCTGAGTGAGGAACAGCGGATCTTGAACCGCTCCAAACGAGGCTGGGTTTGGAATCAAATGTTTGTCCTGGAGGAGTTTTCTGGACCGGAACCGATTCTTGTTGGCCGGGTAAGCTTCGTTTTTTAAGATTCCCAAGTTCACGGTCGGTTCCTTGTCTTTAGATCTTAAGGGCAGACGTGTCACGGTTGCTGACACACTTCACTGTGAGTACTTTCTGCCCGATGGTTAGTTAGTTCACGTCCTGGTTTCTTTGGGAATAGGGATGATCTCCTGGCAACAGTTATAAATGTAGACATGCTGCTCTTCTGGGGAAAGTTCTTCTCTCCCACGCCTTCCATCCCACCATAGATACAGTAGCCTTTGTGCAATACACACACACACACACACACACATAAGATTGTCTTTCTCGTTTCATACAAGGTGTCTGTACGGCAAACCTCTAACTTCCAGTGCCTGTTTTGCTCAGTTTGAATGTATGTCGCCTTGATTCCTAAAATGTTGGGGTTTTTTTTGTTTGTTTGTTTCATTTTATTTTGAGGCCATGTTTCTCCAGTTTCAGGTAGAGTTTTTTCCTTTTGTTTGTTATTTGTGTCAATCATTAACCTAGGATTCAGAAAGGGAAACTCCTCGCATGGATGCTGAACGGTGCTCCGTACGTACTGTGATTCAGTAAACTTGGCAATAGAACCTGGTTCATTCATCGTCAGATGGGATGAAACGTATAGAAGCAAAATTGGAATATTGTGGCGTGCGTGCCTGCACGTGTTAGACGGGGTGTACATTTGTGCTGTTGTTGGCAGGTTAGACAAGTGTTTCTCGTGCGGATCAGGGCTGCCTGCTCTCCATGGTCACACAGGGGTTGCTGAAGACTAACCATGTTTATTCCTCAGAACCGTTCATAAGCTCCTGTTAATTTTCACACACATCATCATCGTAGGTAGAATTCCAGTTATGAGCCTGGCAATGGCTGACTTCCCTGATAAGTCAGATTCGGAAGTGAATCATGCCAATGTTACTTGTTTCCCAAATGCAAGGTTTGCAAGGAAAAAAAACAGGAAGGGAAGTAAAGGTGGATCTTTGAAACGTAAAGTTAACTCTCTGTGCCTCTGGGAACTTCTGCTGGCTTTCCTGCTTCTGCCTGGCAAAGCGAAGCGAGCCTCTCCAGGGATTGTTGTCTCATTTCCTATAGTTCCACCTGGACAGAGGAAGCCTGGATGAGGAGCTTCGAATCATCCAAAGACTATTTACTGAGCCCTCTCTATGTGGCCAGCGCTCTTTTAGGCATATCCAAGGGTGGGGGGGCGAGGAAATCAATGAGCAAAGCAGTGATCCCTGCCTTCCAGGACCTCAGCTTCTGGCCAGTATTGGGTGTTTTCTATACCAGTGTTGAGTGCTCTTAGAAAAGCACCCTGTGGCCATAATACTATTCTAACAGTAATTCCTTCCCCCCTCGCTCTATGTGTATGTGTACACGTGTATACCTTTCTTTCAAAAGTCCATAAGGCAAAAATCTCTAAAAGATTTTGTTTTTGCATGCTTGGTATAAACTCAGGTAGCAGAACTGACTAGGAGCCATTTAGAGTCATAATGCATCCCATTACTGTGCCTGTTCATGCATTTCCCAGCAGAAATGTTAATGTGTTTGATAACAGGGTGCGCCCCAGACCCTGCTGAGGGTGTTACTTACTGTACAGTTTTTACATCTTAACATGCTTCTAAATGTGAACAATTCTGAGTTCCGAAACACTTCTTCCCAGTGGGTTTTGAATATGGGCTTCTTGACCAGAACCAGGTTTTGGGTGGTTTTTTTTGTAAGTGCAGGACCTGAGACCTAGATGGATTAATAAAGCAAACCAAGATCACAGAGCTAGTGAGTGATCTGAGTTTGAATCCGGTTGGAGATCCCCAGGGCCATGATTTTACCCACCCTATTCTGTTATACCTTAGTACAGGGGTGGGCAAACTTTTTGACTCGAGGGCCACAATGGGTTCTTAAACTGGACCGGAGGGCCGGTACAAAAGCATGGATGGAGTGTTTGTGTGAACTAATATAAATTCAAAGTAAACATCATTACATAAAAGGGTACGGTCTTTTTTTTTTTTTAGTTTTATTCATTTCAAACGGGCCGGATCCAGCCCGCGGGCCGTAGTTTGCCCACGGCTGCCTTAGTAACTAGCTGCCACATGTTTAAACTGTAATTTGAACTTAAGAGTTATTGAGCATAGCCCTGGCCTGTGTGGCTCAGTTGATTGGGCACTGTCCATGCACCTAATGGTTGCCTGTTCCATTCTAAGTCAGGGCACATGCCTGGGTTGCTGGCTCCATCCCCAGTAGGGGGCGTGCAGGAGGCAGCAGATTGATGTTTCACTCTCACATCGATGTTTCTTTCTCCCTCTCCCTTCTTCTCTCTCTAAAAATAATAACAAATTAAACATAGATGCAGACTCCTTACATTCTTACTTTCTGGTTATTTAGAACTGCTTTAGCCAGCTGCACCGCAAGTCGTTTCGTATCATGTGAAATTCTGGGTCATTTCATACCTGCATCATTGATAGATATTGCCTGCCTGTTTCTAATAGTTAACTCTTCATGGAGGTGTATCACATTGATGGCATCTTGTATAATATAAATAAACAAACATGCCCTGCCAGAGAACTTTCCACTTTGGTCTGAATAGAAAAAGTAATTATATTGGATTTTGTTTTGGACTCATAGAATCTGATGACTAATCCCACCTCCTTTCTTGAAATAAGGTAATAGAGGCATTCGGCACCTTTGTGACTCAGTAACACTCAAGAAATTCATGTTTCTTTGAGTGACAGAAATGTGGCTAACGAACCCCCAGGACTTTGAATGAGCTGACATGCTCCTGCGTCTTGATGACTGTTTCTATTAATTAACTTGTCCTGCTCCCTTCCCCGGCCACTTCCCAAACAATTGCAAATTCAGAGTTAAATCTGTTTTCTGAAGAACGTTTCCACAAACATTGCCAATCATACCTATTTCTCCTTTAAGGGGAATTGCTCCTGAATTATTCCAGTTTAGCCTTTAAGGATCTGGGATTGTAGAAAAGCCAAAAATACACATCAGGGGACCACTCCTGATTACAAGGCAGGCTGAGTGTGGGGATGATCCGTGTCAGGACGCCCACTGGGGCTTTGTGGCATTTTATCTCTGTGCACACTGTTCCCCATCCCACCCCAAACCACTGCATTGCCGAGCCTCTCCCCAGGAGCTGGCTGAGGAGCCTTCGTTACTCCTCAGCACACCTGCTCTTTGAAAGACCCTCCTGCCAGTCACCATGGTGAGGGCCTTGGGCCTGGCTGACGGAGTTCAAGCTCAAGGGCAGAGCGGTGTTGGAGTGATTGATTCTCCACCGATCCCCTTACACCAAGCATGTCAAACTCATGGCCCATGGGCGGCATGCCTCGTTTATTTGGCCCATGTTAGACTTTGAGCTTGACATGTTTGCCTTACACCACCATTGTTTACATTTACTGTATCAGTAGGCAGCTGGATGCAGAGATAGAGGTTGGCCTTAGAGATGCACTCTCCAGAGATTTGAATATTGGCTTGGCCACTTTCTGGCTCTTAACTTTAGGGAAAATTACTAAAATTCTTCAAGAGTTATCCAACTTGGCCGCCGGTTTGGCTCAGTGGATAGAGTGTTGGCCTGCAGACTGAAGGGTCCCAGGTTCCATTTCAGTCAAGGGCACATGCCCAGGTTGCAGGCTCCATCCCCAGTAGGGGACGTGTAGGAGGCAGCTGATCAGTGATTCTCTCTCATCATTGATGTTTCTCCCTCTCCCTTCCTCTCCCTTCCTTTCTGAGATCAATAAAAATATATTTTTAAAAAAGAGTTATCCAAACTGGATAAATAAGAGCATATAAGAATAAATAAAAAAATGTATGCATAGTGCCTACAAGTAATTAATTATTGTATTGATGATTGCATTAATTATACAAGTGTGTGTGTGTGTGTGTGTGTGTGTGTGTGGTTGGAGTGGTGGACAAATTGACAATGACAGCGCTAAGTAAGCCCAAGACTCTGGGAGCCCAAATAAGAGCCCTTCTAGGTGACTTAGGTGAAGGGATTTTTAGGTGTGTACTGAAGGGTGACACCAGTTAGCCTGGTGGGGTGGGGTGGGAAGTTAGGTGCCCTAGTTGGACAGAAAGGTTTATGCAATGTCACAGGGACAGGGTGGGACTACTGAGGATCCCCTGCGTCAGAAGCAATGTAAGCCCATATATTTCCTGTTGAATTAAAATGAAGTTGATTCCACAAATAAGTGAGATCATGTGATATTTGTCTTTCTCAGTTTGGCTTGTTTCACTGAGCATAATATTTTCCAGGCCTATCCATGCGGTGCCAAAGCATAAGAGGTCCCTCTTTTTTATAGCTGCATAGTATTCCATAGTGTAAATGCCTGACAGCTTTCTTATCCATTCTCCTACTGATGGCACTTGGGCTATCTACTGCAGACTTGCAGCCCACAGTTCCTTTCAAGGTACATGAATTCATGCACTGGGCCCCTAGTGTATATATAAGCGCCTAAGCAACCGAACAACCGGTCAACCAGTCATTATGATGCGCACTGACCATCAGGGGGCAGATGCTTAACACAGGAGCTGCCCCCCAATAGTCAGTGCGCTCCCACAGCCAACCTCCCATGGCCCCTATCCCTGCTAACCAACCTCCCACAGCCCCTGCCCCCAGCCAACCTCCCACGGTCCTGATGAGCCCCGATCGCCAGCCAGGCCGAGGGACCCCACCTGTGCACGAAGTCGTGCACTGGGCCTCTAGTTGTAAATAATGCTGCTATGAACATAGGGGTACATATATTCTTTCAGATTGGTGTTTTGGGGTTGTTAGGATATATTCCAAGAAGTGGGATCACTGTGTCCAAGGAAAGTACCATTTTTAATTTTTGAGGAAACTCCATATTGTTTTCCATAGTGGTTGCACCAATCTGCATTCCCACCAGCAGTGAATTAATGTTCCCTTTTCTCCACATCCTCACCAGCACTTGTTCTTTGTTGATTTTTTGATGATGGCCTTTCTGACAGGTGTGATGTGATATCTCATTGTGATTTTAATTTGCATTTT